TTTAACCGGATTTTATTTACTTATTTTAAGTTAGTGCTTGACTAGTATCCCATCTGTTGTTAAGTGGTGATGAAACCCTCGATGATCAGTTCCACTGTCCTAGCGTACGTTGAAGAAACCTAGTTTGTTATCAGATGGAAAGACGGACGCCGGCAAATTAATCCCCTTCTTTGCTGTACGCATTTTAAAAGACAAAGCAAGGTGGAGACCCACCGATTGTCTGGTTGTCCGATGGTAGAAAGGGGAGAGAGGAAATAAATTATGTAATTCCTGCGCTAATAATTGCAGCCTTACTTATAAAAATCGAGATCTATTTAAGAAATGCTTAAGTTGCTCCCGTCTCGCCCTCACTCTTATTTAGTTAACGGTGGAGAGAGACAGGTATAGAGTTAAATATTGTTATAAATGTAGCTAAAAAGTGTTAACAAAAAAGTATGAGTAAGATCGTAAATTCTTGAAAAAAAATTTCTTCAATATCTTTATATCAATTAAAATAGGTACTTAATTTATTCACAATGAATTCACAGCATGTTGGCGGCGTTATTTAATTTATCCCCTGTTATGGACATGCTAAAATTATTTCAAGGTTAGTTACATATGCCTACAAAGACTTACATGCCATCACGAAGATGTCCCGGCGACATTTTCGCTGAATGTGCTGCAATAGTCGCCGCACTGAGGGTGGAGGAGTTACATGTCTACCGAGCCCTTGCATACGAGAAAGCACATAATAACACATCCGTAACTCCGTACCAAGCCTGACTACGATACAACCCAAGAAGAAAACCAAGGAGAATCCTTCAAATATTATACGAGTGGGAACCTCCGAAGACGACCCGGTGATATTTTTGCTAAATTTGACACCTTGCATGCAATCACGAAGTCGTCTACCATACAGCACCGTCTGCTAAGAAAATAGCAGCACGTCTTCAAAGAAGCAATACACGAACTATTGTAGTGCACTTACATGAAGTCCATCCCGGTACTCCGCTCCTCCAGTTCTGGTTCAAACGGTTGGGACCCCCTTCCGTTTCTGTCACAGGTCCGTGCAATAACCTTCCGACTGCGCCACTTACGTTTGCGCAGCTTAGGGTGGGTTGAAGTGGAAGGAAACGAAGCCTTTTTCCTATAATAAAAAAATTTAAAAGGTATTTATGCAACTATGGTAGAATAATGATCAATAGTTTCGATAAATTATTGCAAGATAGGTTTCGCGAAGCAATATCACTGGAACTTTTGTCCATTACGATACTCTCGACAGTCCACATTATTTTATTTTACGACTGTGAGTTCACAATAATACTAGGTACTTCCTAACTTACTAAACTAACTTAATTACTACTGGGCAATCCCAATTAAGCGTTGGTTTTTATACAAGGTCACGTGTTTGAAGACGTGCTGCTACTTACTTAGCAGGCGGTACTGTACGGTAGATGACTTCGTGATTGCATGCAAGGTCTCGGTAGGCATATATAACCGGCTCATCTTATAGGCACCTTATTTAGAAACCGGTGTTGGTTATAGACCTATTCAGGGATGCATATTAGGAATGCATTTCCTGAAATAATTGCCTACTACTCACCACATTGGGCAGGCGGGTATGGGCTTATTTTACTCAGATCAGTGACAAGAACGAGCATCAATGCTGTCAGAAGTCTGGTGCAATAGAGAAGTTGCATTAATTTTTTGCCACAAATATATACCTATATATTCGGATCACCATGTCAACATAACCTGTATTATGTTATGCAATGACAATGTTTTTTTAAATTTTGACAACGTAAATATGAGTTTTTTATTTTTATTTCATCATGCGGTGGCGTTACTAAAGCGACATAATGACGTCACAGGCGTTTGATTCGAATTAACATTTTAGATAAAGCATTTTTAGTTGTAAAATTACATGAAAATAATTTTTTTTAAATTTCATACTAAGATTTTTAGTAAACTCAAAAACAAAAACCATGCAACTTCTCTATGGTGGTCAAGTGACGATTTTGCCAAATCTTAATCCCTATGATAGAACAGTATTTGAACGTCCACTATATAGTTGAGTTTCTTATTTCAACATGTTTACATCGATAATCAAATTCTAACTAGTGGCCGAAAACGGTCTGAGTATTTGCCTGAGTAGAACTAGAACTCCAACCGGATCGACACTAATAAATAATTATTGGCATTAGTCTATATGTTGTCTCTGTTCCTGTCTTCGACAACACATTCTAGCCTTCATGAGAATTTAGCATGTACCTAATAATTATATGGGTCAAAGAACGGTTAAGATTGTGTATTATTTTATAATGCCTAATTACGGAACTTGTTTTGCCGTGCAAGCATCTAAGTATTTTTTATTATTATTAGGTATCTTCTCATTATACACATTAGGCAGCGATCACCGAATGGTTAGACACACTGAACGTAAATGTTAAGTTGGTCTCGTCTAATGAAGTCAACGCTCCGTCCCCCTCGTGCTCTAATCAAAAGACCCGAAACCTTTCAGGTCGAGTTACAAAACCGTTTTCAGTGCCTAGAATATTGCAATGCAGTGGACGATATGAATGACAAGCTCGTGGAAACTGTCCATGCGGTCGGAGCTAAGTTCTGCAAGACGCGCCGCAGAACACAAAAACTTTCTGATCATACTCTTAATATCATGGATGTTAGACGATAGATGGAGCTGCAGGCGTCAGCAGATTTGACACGGGACTTACGCAACTTCTATACAGCTCGTATTGAAGAGAGATTAGACAGCTCGATTGAGATCTCTCTGTCAGAAAGAGCCAACTTTCAAAGCTAAAGACTGAGTGTGGCAGCATCGTTTCTGGGACACCTGAGATTTTGAGTGAGATTGAGAGCTTCTATGGGCAGCTGTACACATCATCGTTGGATCCACACGCAAGTGTGAGTAACGATCCAAGAGCAAGTCTTAACCAGCAATATCCTTATGGCAGAATCGCTGGAGGACCTAAGCACTATGCTCAATGAACTCAATAGTATCTCCCGACGGGTAGGTCTTAAGATGAACATGGACAAAACAAAGATCATGTTTAATATCCATGTCACACCTATGCCGGTAGTTGTTGGGAGCACTAAGCTCGAAGTTGTTGATACGTTTACTTGGGGCAAATAATCCGACTAGGTAAGTCCAACTTCGACCGAGAGGTCAATCGACAGATTCAACTCGGTTGAGCAGCGTTCGGGAGATTACGACACATCTTCTCGTCAGGTATACCTCAAAACCTAAAAACGAGACTGTACTACCATAGCGTGTTGCCAGTGATGACTTATTGATCTGAGACGTGGTTTTTCGTTGCTGGCCGTATGAGGACGCTCAAGTTCGCTCAGCGAGCTATAGAAAGGGCTATGCTTGGGGTTTTTCTGAGTGATAAACTTAGAAATGAGGATATCCGCAGTAAAACCAGAGTGACCGACATAGCCCAACGGATTAGTAAGCTGAAGTGGCAATGGGCCGGCCATATAGCTCGAAGAAAGGACAACCGATGGGGAGAAAAGGTTTTCGATTGGCAGCCTCGTACCGGTAGGCTAGTGTAGGGCGACCCCCCCTGGATGGAGTGACAACTTGGTAAGACATGCAGGAAGTCGATGGGTGCAGGTGGTTTAGGACCGTGCTTTGTGGCAATTCCTTGGGGGAGGCCCATGTTCAGCAGTGGACTCGTAAAGGGCTGTGATGATGATGATGATAATTATCTTTTGCGTAACGTTCAGCGGTTAGGGGAGAAGTTTTGAAAGGATGAAGTGAGGGGTCAAAGGCAAAAAAATTATAGCGACCACAAGCACTGAGATCCCAATCCAGGATCCCAGGAAGGGGGACAGGCACGCAGTTACGTTTACTGATCGCTGGTTTACAAGCGATTATTAAGAAAATGATGACCATATATCGAATACCTTTTTAACACACATTTCTTCTTTCAGATGAATACATTTTACACAATGCCAAGGAAAATGCGACAAAAATTAGCTAAAGAGCTCAGCGACGAAACTTCGGAAATAACCCAAACTTCAGACGGGTTCTCTCTGCCGCCTCCACCAGACGAATTTGGAACTTATCGAGCAGCAACAAAGATCAAGGATATGCCGACTAAATCAACTCCAACTTATACTACGATCGTCCGGAAAAATTCTTCAGGCAAGGAGTTAGCGAAACAACCGAGCACTTTGTCTCCAATGAACACAGTAGGCCTGCCAACTATTAGTGGCGCCCAGAATAGTATTTATACTTATCCAGATTATGACAATCAGGGTCATCAGATTAACACGAATCCATTTGATGATTCCTCATAGTCACACAGAAAAAGCATTTTAGCTGTGTGTTACTTTAATGTGGGGTATAATAAAGTATACTCAACATTTCTAAAATATGCCAAAGTTCATTTAGTTATAAAGGACTTTGATTAAATTGTAACTGTAAGATCTCACAGCTGCATTTTTGTAGTTGCACAGATTAAGTAAATAAAACGATAAAAATGTACTTCAAATCTTTATTTACAAAAATAGAAACGATCTAGTGCCTTTTGAATAGTAGATATTTTCTCGTATTCCATTTTTATGTGCACATGATTACAGTTACTTATTACAGGCAATATTTTTTGCTTTATTATAAAAAAAGAATGTAGTTTTTTTTTTAATATTTGTAATACATGTGATATAAATACAAAATTACATTAGTTATTGACATTCTGTATTGTTCTCATTAAATACACAGCTGTTGCCATTGAATAAAAATTTTGATTGTTTACGTAAGACACTGAGACTTTGTATTCGGAACTATCTTACCTACCTAAAATATTTTGTTTGTATTAAATAAAATGTCAATGGTCACTTTTGTTTCATTTTTCTTGCTTAATTAATTACAATGTTACATGTCCAATACATCAAATATAAAAATTGCATTATTCAGACTAACTTTCAAAAACGTACACAATTAGCCGTAATTAGATTGACAAATTTTATGAATAATCAATTTTGATATTAACGTTCACTTAATCCAAACGATCCAAATACGCCTGCGCCACTGTAAGCTTATCGATGAGATGCTTGGTGTTTGGTCGGGACTGAAATAAAAATAAACTATAAATTCAACGAACCCTAAAATATACGTAGTACTAATTAAGTTACAGTTAAATAAAAAAGAGCCGTGGTAGCTCAGATGGTTAACGCTCGCTGTAAATTTCACAATACGTGAGCAAACCGGGTTCGATGGCCGCGGCACCAATGGTGCCGGCGGGGATCGAACCCGGTTTGCTAATTTGATTAAATTGTTAATAGTAATTTTAAGTGCTGATTTGCCACGTGCTCGCCGGTGAAGGAAAACATCGTGAGGAAACCTGCATGTCTGAGGAATGAGAAAAAGAAATTCGACGACGTGTGAAGTTCGCCAACACGCATTGGGGCAGCGCGATGGACTATTCCTTGCCATAAAACTCTCTCAGAAATGAGAGGAGGCCTGTGCCCAGGAGTGGGACGTATATAGGCAGTAACTTTAACTTTTTTAACTAACTTTAAATAAAAAAATATTTTAAAAATATGAAAGACTTCAAGATTCTTAAAAAAAAGAAGAGTAAAAATCACGTGTAGTTCGATAGCACGTTAAACACAGAATTCGTCTCGCCAAATGGGCCCCTAAACTCTCATTTTTGCCCAAATACTCATAACTACTCTATTTTAGGATGCTGTTAAGTCTCGTGCTGTCTCTATCACATTAATTCAAAGTGACTGTAACAGACGTTTATACGTGGTAGAGCCACGCTGCAGCTATATTATGGTTGTAGCACGAATGGGTCGGCTCGACCGGGGAAGGACCACGCTCTCACAGAATACTAGCCTAAAATAGCAGCTTAATGCTGCTGTGTTTCGTATGGTGAGTGTAGAGATCAGGAGACCCTCTTTTACTGAAAACGAGACATTCCATCTTAGTCCTCAGGGGTGACAACACATCCGCATATTCTTAATCAAGGATAAATGTATATGTTTATGGGCCACAAAATCCACTTACCATCAGGTGGACTGTGTGCTCGTTTGTCACTCTTATTATATAAAAAAAATGTCTTTTACCTCACGCAGTAAACACCAATTATAACACAGCGCGAGAGTTGCGATGGGAATCGCGAGACGTAAAGCGAACTCACTGTCCACTTATGTGTGTTTGTGTTTAATTTCGTCACTCACACTAATTTTTAAACGCGGTATGAAATCAGTCTTGAGACATGCAGATAACTAAGTTAGCGTTTATAATTATATTAGCTTCGAATTAGCTTCGCGATTCACCTCGCTTCTTGCACGAATGTGTAAATTCAATTTAAGAGTGTAAACAGCCTGTAAGTAGAGGCTCCACTGTACAATATTATAACCGTTGACTTTTAACATTTAATTCCACTTTGGGGTTACAACAATAACTAAGTAATTTCGTCTTAATACTTAATATTGAAAATCACCAAGATGTATCTCGTCCGCGCACGCGCGAGTGTATACATACGCCCGCATGCCCTCGCGTGCCGGCTTGTCAATGTCTCTCTCTCTCTCTCCTCTCTCTCTCTCTCTCTCTCTCTCTGTGTGTGTGTGTGTGTGTGTGTGTGTGTGTGTGTGTGTGTTGTGTGTGTGTGTGTGTGTGTGTGTGTGTGTGCGTGCTCACCTGCAGCGCGGAGAGCGCGGCCTCGTGCAGGTCCTTGCAGCGCGCGAGCGCGCGGCGGCGCGGCGTGTGCGCGAGCGCGGGCAGCTCGCTGCGCGCCGCCTGCAGCAGCAGCGCCGCCACCGCGCACACGTGCGACTCCTCGCCGCAGCCCAGCCACACGCGCTCGTTCACGCTCACCAGCCTGCGCTCACATCGCAATCGTTACGCTCACCACATATAACGCTAGTTGGGACTAAGGTCAACTTATTTGTTACGGACATGGGTCACAGTGTTATTAACATTGAAAAACTGCGTTTGAAATTACAAAAATCGATTTCTAGTGTATGTTTATATACAAAAAATGTCTCAGTATTTTTTTTACTCATTTCAACTTTTTAATTCGTCCACTATTAGCAACATCCGTAGTTTGTTTTATTTATTTCTAATCTAATGAATATAACTAATATTCCGGAAAAAACTTTAATCTTTACACTTTTCTAACAAATTATTTCTCCCCGCTATGAAATCTATCAAATATTTCACCTCATCCAAAGTGGGCTGACCTGGTGGCAGAAAAGTCGTGAATGCCACCAATAACGCGCACTCGTTAAACGAAATTATCTGTCAGAAAAATTCTAATGCGCTCCGGCCCCGGCCGATACCCAGCGCCAAGGAGGTTAGAGAACAGGAGAACGATCGCCGTAGAAAATAGTGTCCCAGAAATATGGACACCATAAGTGAGGCGCTGCGATCGTTTAGTTCGCTCAATAAAAGACATTTTCAGTCTATTTTTTCGATCAGAAGCTAAACCACTTGTACATTCACGCACAATAAAATATTTCTCCATTTTTAATGTTTCTTTGTATCAAAAATTACAAAATTACGGAGCATGAAAATTTTTTCACCAATGCCGCGAAGAAAATTTGTACATTATTCAACTAACTTCATCTACTTGTACTCATAAACAGCCAACTTCGCAGTCACTACTCACCGACGTCAGCGCTGATATAAATTCTACAATTTTCATGGACAGGCGGGCTATGCTTTAATACGTAGCGATCGTTCTCCTGTTCTTTAACCTCCATGCCCAGCGCATTCACTTTGAACTAGACCACCCGCATCTTACGTTCGCAGGATGCATGCTATCCGCACAACAGAAATTTGTCATGTCAGAATACGCGCGGAAGGCGCGCCTTCGATACATTTTGTATACGACGGCGCACACCATCAGGAATTAAACGAGTGTACGCCCGTGTTATGCACACGTATTGTGTGTTAGGGAGTTATCACACTGCAGATTTGCAAGCGAGGCCCGTGCGCTGTGAGCTCGTAGCGAGCGCGCGACGAGCACACCGCGAACACCGCGCCACGGAATAAATGAGCAATAATAATACAATAGTATAATGGATTGCATTTGACGGCGCTATTTTTTTTTTGCGCCCTAAGCAAATAACAGCAACCCTCCGGTAACAGGGGAGGGAGGTGGTGAATGCTCATAGCATAGGTACATAACCACGTCTACACATAACCACGCAGCTGGCTGCGTGGTTATGTGGAGACTTTTACCCACTAAACACCACCTTTTGGGATCAACTTAACGATCTGACGAGAGACCTTTAAGCCGTACGGCGCTATTCGTGCAGTCTATTATTTATACTTTGGGGCGGTGTCTTCGTGGTGCGGTGGGCTCGCCGCGCGCTCTCTGCGAACTCGATTGCAAATCGTCAGTGTGATAAGGCCCTTAGGACTGACAAAAATTATTTTTAATTATGATCAGAATATTATTTAAATACGCCGGTGGAAAAATACATGCCTATGGAATATTGGTGATAAATAGCGACGAAACGAAATATCTAATAGTGTGCGGGGTGTGCGGATGATCGGCCGGTGCGTGTTAAATTTTTTTTAATAGCGGAAACTTGAAAGGCAGCACATTACTGCTCCTTCATTTCTTTTTAATCAATAGTTTGTTGTCGATTTTGTCACGTAATAGTGCCATAAGAGATTTCCGCTCGCAGACACCACTCCAGAGCGCCACACACGAGCGTGAAGAGAGATATCTTAACTACACATTAATGAACACCAGATATATTTAGCAATTTAATACTCACTTTATATAAATATCAAGCACTTGTTCTAACGATACTCCTATATTCAAAATGGCTTTAAACACCATACTCTTTTCTGATTGCATTTTGCAGCTCATTATTTCTAATTGACGCACAATAAAATCTGTAAGGCAAACAAAATTTGTTTTTGATAAAGAGTTTTTTCTATTTCATAGAACAAATTCTTATAAATATTTAGAAAATATATTTTAATAATTGTTTTTAAAATAAGTTAAAAACCTATAATTAAAAAAGCACAAGTGAATAACTTAACAACACAAACATAACACTCACAAAGGGGAAAACAATGTCCGGTATTAACATATTCTCTTCCTAATGTAGTTAATTTGCTAAGTACAGATGCAAGACGTTCATCTGCGGTGGGTAAGTTCCTAGCGGTGGCTTCAGCCTCTGAAAGTATATTGCTCCAAATATTCTCTACAAGTAAAGCATCATTGTGCCCAGAGCATTGAACGATTGCTAACTTGCACTCCCACAGATTGTAGCGATCTGCATACTCTTCGTAAAGCTGTAACAAATAAGATAATATTATTGAATTTGAATTCGGGACGTGCGAATCCCGGCCTATGTCCTTCTAGTAAAATTCTCGTTTTGTTGCTTATTGAAAGTTTGATTTTCTTGTGAATTAGGAATCGATTATAATGATAATGTGTTCATTATGCAATTGCCCATCAAATAAAAATGTGTCAGATTCGATACCATTATTAGTACGAAATAATTTCCTAACAATCTTACAAACGCTCCTTTAAAAAAAAGACGTAAACCCTTAAGTTAACATTCGGACTCGGAGTCTGTCGGTTTAAGTAAAGAAAGCTCTCATTTTTCCTAATGTTATAAACATAGACTTAGTATAAACTAACGTTAGAATATATTGGCAACGCAAAAGAAAAACAGCATAGTGTACGCGTATATTAGAGCAAGAAAGATAAGCTAGACCATTTAAGTTATGCCAAATCGCACGCTATTTACAAATAAATATGTATTAAAATCTGTCTGTCAACACAGCGAATCGGGTTTGTAGTAGTGACAATAGGACGTTATTGCTTGTATGTGACGTGCTGAACCCGGTGACGCCTATCGTCGTACAAAATAAGGTTGACACTCATTCTATTGTGTATTATAGTATTCTATGGCCTGACGTCATTCGTGAACAAAACAAATTCTGATTGTATTTGCAAAATCTCAGATTTTAAAGTGAAAATTAGGGTTTAATAGACGTAATTAATTATAAGTAGGTGCGTAGTATATAAATATAGCTCACCTCATAAAGAAACCCCACATTAAGATACATTTAACCCGTAGGTAGTATTTAAATGTTTTTGTTTTGAAAATTTAGCTGTCTAAATGCTGTTTTAGATCAGGTACAAACAATTTGTACTTAAATGGATGAGAAATAATATCACATTTTATAACCGACCAAAATGGTTGAAAATAATAAATAGAGAAGAATAGGTACCGAAAGGAAATATTCCACTATAAACAGCAAGTACTTTGAAGAAAAATGTTTTTCTCATATACCATTGTAAGGTATACTGTTAGTCCGTGGGGTAGTGCAGTTTTATTAAAAAAAAAACTAAAACTGAAACTAATAAATACCAATATAGTTAAAAAAATTATAACAAGTATTATCAGAATGTAGAAAATATTCTGAATTACACCTTTCATTGGATAGCCATACACGATATTTCAATATTTATTTAATAAGTATAGTCATTCAGCGAGAAAACGTAGCCAGCCTGCTTGGCACGATAACACGGCGAGTAGGACTATACGATACTTTAAGTTTTTAGTTTTAGTTTTTCTTCATTATAGTAATTTAATATTTCATGTATTTCAATGTTTCATTATATGTCCGCAACAAACTGACTTAAGCTTAATAACCGCGAAAGGACACAATGCCTTTAAAGACAATTTGTCAAAACAAATAAAACAAAATAAATTTATTTCACTTTTGGTCCATTTAAAACAGTCGTACAAAACACGAAATTACCAATTCTGTTAGTAAAACAGAATACGAAATACATTATGACATTAATTTAAATATTTTCCGGGCAATGGCTCGGAAAATACTTAATATTGTGGCGCTTGGTATACATATACAAAATACGACGAGTATTAAGAAGATTTGAGGGAACAGATGACCATACACACATACATAGCCTTCTAAAACTGCTTCCTTTTTGCTTAGCCGTAGTTGGGTGAAAATATTCACCTACATCATTTGCGTCAAATCAGAAGACACAAATATAATGCAATCGGTATCGATAATTGAAGTTGAAGCAGGCAATGCATGGTGCAGCACTATATGTCACCCACACATGCACATCAGACGCACACTGGTGTATTTCGATTTCGGTCTTACCGTAATGACTCGATCGCCAATGTATACTATAATCTATGGTAAGGATGTTACATGGAAAGTAAAAGTTGATCTCAGAGTTCCTTTAATAGAATGTTTATATTTAATGAACAGGTAGGTTTAATAATTGTTGAATAATGTAAAAAAGTTTTTAAAGATATATATTTACACGATATAAGCAACCCCCACCACCACCACCACCACCACACCCACACACACACACACACACACACACACACACACACACACACACACCCACACACACACTCACCTGCGTGATTTCGAGCAGTTCGTCATCGAGGCGGCGCAGCAGGTGGTGCGGCGGCGGCGGACGACGCGCGGCGGCGGCGGCACGCACTGCGGCCTGCACGCGCGCCACCTCGGCCGCTTCCTCCAGCCGACGCAGCAGCTCGCCGCCGCCACCCCCGCCGCGCCCGCGCCGCGCACGCACACCACGCCCGCCGACAGCCACGCCATGCGCTGCGACAGCGTCGCGCCCGACCTGCAACAATCACCACACTCATTCTACAAACAATGCATACGGGCATTAATTACAGCATTCACTGGTGTCTTCAGCCTGTCATACCTCACAGCAGCATTATCAAGCTGCCCATATCCTATTTCAGTTTCACTCTCTTTTGCCTCTCGCGACATCTACGGGATATGGGGTAGTGGTCACAACACGGCGCCATTGCTTTTGCCAAATAATAAAACGTAACGTCGTAAGTATAAAAAATAATATATTTTTTATAAAAGTAAAGATAATGATTTCTTATATTTACGCGAAAACTACACATTTAAATAATATTAGTTTCGCGCACTTTACAGCACCCATGGTCACGGGGGACTGAAATGTTCAACGTCCAGATCATAGTAGTCATAGTTAACCGCGGTTACCACAGATTAAAATTATTAACTTTTTTTGCACCCAGCCATCTTTTCTATTGAAATTAGGATGTTTTTTTATTTCAATAGCCTCGAGAATCACCCTTGGAAGGAATCGGTGTTCTTCAGGGTAGATTTGTGGTCTATCAAATCTGATGTAGTGACGGGGGCGATCCTGTATGTGTTCACAGGGAAGTCTGCAGTCTGTGAACACATACGGCCCACTTTACGGTATAGCCAAAAAGGTATAAAGGTATCAGGATCTAAAGAAGATTTTCAATGGAACAACACCTGCAATTATCGCCGGAGATCTCAACGCAAAACATCCTGCTTGTCCGCGATAATCACACCTCCTGGTAGAAAACTCTATGAAGACTCTGAAGAGTGAGGATATGAGGTACTGGGTCTAGATGAGCCCACCCACCAACCCGATGTCCTCGACATCGTGTTGTGCCACCAAATACCGAACAGAATACGGCTAGAGGTGCTGTATGATCTGGACACGCAGCACCTCCCCGTGTTGTTCACCATAGACACCAATGCAGACGCCGGAGTGCCCAGAGGTCCAAAAATGCGGACCAACTGGACACGCTTCCACAAATCGCTGGAAGACCTTCATAATTCATAATTCTTTATTGCATGTCACAAAGTATAAAGTTGGAACAATATATTTACAGAACATGTGACACCCTGTACAGGCGTAGCATATTAAAATAGAGTTTAAATTTTAATTAAATATAGAATTCATTTTCATTTCATTCAAATTACAGTATTTATAGTAGTATTTATAGTACACAATATATAAATTATATTATAAAATGTCAGACTAAATAATACTTACACATTTGTTTTAAAAATTAAATTTCATTAAATATTGTCAACTGATCATTCGTCATTTATATTATGTAAATAAAGTTTAAAATTTTTGATGAAAAATACTAACAATGTCAAATATGTAAATAGAAATAAAGAAAATTGTCAAATAATAAAAATTGATTTATAATTTATCATTAAAATATTCATTCAAACTGTAATATGTTTTTACAATAAGCATTTTCTTGAGTACTATTTCAAATTTACGACACTGGAGGGCTTTTATTGTATTAGGTAACTGATTGTAAACCCTTATAGCCATGTAGTAGGGACCATTTTTATATAATGTGAGATGTGTGGCAGGAGCAACCAGATTATAACCTCGGCGTGTGCCGTAGCGACTGGGTCTATCTTCAAATCGCTGGAAATACTGAGGATTTTTCCTAACAAATCGGCATAATTCATAAATGTAAATGCTCGTTACAGTTTGTAAGTTATATCTGGGGAACAACCTTCGACATGAATCTCTTGGAGCTGCGAATGTGATGATTCTAAGGCAGCGTTTTTGGAGCATGGATACCGCGTTTACCTCGGTAGAGTTTCCCCAGAATATGATGCCGTATCTTATCCAGGCAGCTGCGTGGCTGTGGTACGCAGTAAGTGCGCACTGCTCATTAGTATCCTTACGTAGCTCACGCAGGGCATAGCAAAAACTGCTCAACTTACTCACAACTCTTTCTACATGAGTTCTCCATGAAAAAGTTGAGTCTATTATTATCCCGAGGAACGAAAATGTGCGAACTTCCTCAATATTTATACCTTGGTAAGATATAGCGAGCGGGACTTCTGATCTCTGATATGGACGAGACTGCATTATTTTGGTCTTTTCAAAATTTAGTAATAAGCCTAAAACCTCTAATTAATTTACAATTTTTCTAAAGCATTGTGTTATTTTTTCCTGCAAACTACTTAGATTTTTTTGTTTACAAGTAATTATAACTGTCGCGTCATCTGCAAACAAAACGACTCTATGTGGTGCTACTGAAGGAAGTTCGTTGATATAAATAGAAAAACAATAAGCATCCTAGGACACTACCCTAAGGTATGGAACCTGTTACTGTTGCAGTGGACGAATTTATGTCATATATCAGTTTTCGATATTGATTTAAATGTGATAACGTGACGTACTGTTTTCTATTCGCAAGATAAGAAGAGAGCCAATCGTGCGGTTTCCCTCATATACCTAGTAAATATAGCTTTTCCAGCAAGAGTCCATGCAAAACGCGATCGTATGCTTTGGACATGTCCATAAAAATAGCTATAGCACATCTTTCTTCATTTAGAGCATTCTGAATTTCTAACATGCAGTCAAATACAGCGGACGTAGTAGAATGATTTTTTCGGAAACCATGCTGATATTTACTAAAAATGCTGTGCTTTTCAAAAAAAATATATATTTGACTACAAATTATTTTCTCAAAAATTTTTGAAATTACAGACAGTAATGCAATGGGGCGATAATTGGATACAGCAGTTTTATCGCCTTTTTTAAAAATAGGTTTTATCACGGCTAATTTTAGATTTTCCGGAAAAACGCCATCCTTATACGATTGATTTATAAGAAAAGTTAAGGGCTTTACAAACTCATCTACGCAATATATGAGTAGAGCAGCTGGGATTTCATCATATCCGCAAGAATTGTTTCTTTTTAGTCCCATTATCGCTTTTTTTACATCCGCTTCTGTAACACTGCTAAGATATAGTGAATTTGGCAAGGATACTCGAGATGGCCGCTTATTTAGAGAGGAGCAGTTATTTGAACCTATAGTTATATAATAATTATTGAATAAGTTTGCAACTTTACTTGGAGATGTTATATTTAAAACGTCATTATGTAAACAAATGTTTTCATATTTTACACTTTTAACTTTTTTAGTTTTTTCATTTATCATAGCCCACATAGTTTTATATTTATTACGTGACGTTTGCACTCTTTTTATGTAAGATTTTCTTTTTTCTGTGACTATTATTCTTTTTAGTATTTTGCTGTAGATTTTTGTATAAGATTTTAAGGCTTCATTATTATAGTAGTTAGTAAGATAACGTAAAACACGTTTGTTGTAGCAACACTTTTTAATGCCTTTTGTTGCCCATCTCGTCTTTTCTTTATTTTGTAATTTATACAATTTTCGTGGAATATGTTCATCTAAAATAGACTTGATTTGGTTCTGAAATTTATTATAGTTTGTATTTATATCACTCGTTGGGGTCATTATATTAAACCAATTAATTTCATTTAATTTAATTCTGAATTTTTTCATATTATTCTCATTAAAAAGTAGTTTTATAAGTAATATTATTTCTATTTATGTTCTCTTCCACTGGTATTTGTCCAATTAATGCGTGATGGTCTGCTAAGTCATAATTTTGTACAAAAACCGTCGCCGCTTCGTCTCGGCGCCTCCATTATCACCCACGAAGATGTGGAGACAGCGGCACTGCTTCTGCACTACGCACTAACCAAACAACTAGAACTCTCCTCACACCCTGTCTCCACAGGGTGCCGAGGGGAAGAACTGCCTCACAAATTACAGCTGCAGCTTACCGAGCGTAAGCTGCGAAAGCTCTGGGCACGAACACCGTGCCCACGACTTAAATCCAAATTAAAGAAGATGACCGAAGAGCTGTCGGTGGCGATAAGAGCGCACCGGGGGGAGGCATGGGAGAGGCGAGTCGACGAAGCCTCGGAGACACCCGACTCCCTGCATTCCCTCAACCGGCAGCTCACCAAAACACCACCACCTATTTGCCCACAAGTGGACAACACGGGGAAACGGATCTACGAGTAGTGTAGTTCCTAGAGGGACGGAGCGTCTATGTTAACATCGAGGAGGCTGTCTCAGTAAAGTAAAGTTACGGCCTATATACGTCCCACGGCTGGGAGCAGGCCTCCCCTCATTTCTGAGTGTTTTAGGGCAAGGAAGTGTCCGCCGCGCTGCCCCAATGCGTGTTGGCGAACTTCACATGTCTTCGAAACATTTTTTTTCTTTATTCCTCAGACATGCAGGTTTCCTCACCTGTACGCGGTTTACACTAATGACATCCCCACACTCCAAGGCCGCCTGGAGAAGTGGGAAGATGATGTCGTCCTAGCCTTATATGCAGACAACAGTGCGTACTACACGTCATCTCGTCGGGTAGAACTCGCGGCAAGGAAGCTGCAGCGACTGCTGGACCGGATTGGCTGGACAAATGGAGGATGGCGGTCAACGTCAGGAAGACCGCCGCCTTCATGACCAGGCTGAGACGCACCCCACCAACCTTGCAACTCCGCGGACAGAACGTAGGTTGGTAGAGTATAGTCAACTACCTAGGATGCCAGATAGATCGCTCGTTGCGCATGACTCCAATGGTCGACCACGTCGTGGCTCAGGCCAGAGTAGCACGAGCAAAACTCTATCCAATACTGGCATCCACACTCACGCTTAAAACAAAAATCACCATCTATAAGACCTACGTCCGCTCACGGCTGACTTACGCAGCGCCAGCCTGATACGCGCTGACATCGGCCACACATCGCAAGAAGCTGCAAGCCCAGCAGTATCCAGCGGTCCGGGTGATCGTGGGAGCAGGCCGCTACGTAAGAAATGACCTCATAGCCAGGGACCTCAAAATAGAGTCTATCCACGAATTAGTGGCCCGTATTGCAAGACGGTTGTTCGACCGCGCAGATAACGAGCCACACCCATACCTGCAAAATTTAGCACCCCTACACGCGCGCCCACCTGATAGGCGGCCACTCCCACGTGAACTTTTACGCTCACCGCCCGGCGAGGGATGACACGAGGGGCACGGCTACCCCACGTAGAGAGGGATGCCTCGATACCTGCAGGCCCTCCTGTCTCCAGAAGGGGGACGTAAAGGAGAAGAAGCACTACTGCACTACTACTCGCAATTTGTTGGAAGTAGTGTGGCTTAGGCAAGGGGATAGATCGACGAGTTAGGAACTGGAAAACTCGCCGGATTACTGCGATTATTACTTTTTTACTTACTTACTACGACTACCCGATCTTGTTCATTGGTCCTTCGGAGTGAAGGATCACTGATTCAGAAACGCCACGATCCTGTTCACTCTCATTAGTTTAATTTAGTCTACAACTGGCTATTTTCCGCAACTCCACATCTAAACACGTAATTTGTGTGGATACTGACTTTGATTGTATTCCTCATAAAAACTTAAAACAGAATGTACAAATTATAAAAGATCTCCCTGTTCTCGTCACTCACAGTAGATTAATGCATCTCAAATTCGGTACACGTGGTAGGTGGACTGACAATCGCAAAATCAACTGCAAAAGAGACTTAACGCCGTTCCTCGTCGCCATTTTGGTATTTTCGTTCGCATCGGTAAGTCTTATGGTTGGATTGGCGAGGGCCTTTTACCTTTGTATCCTTTACTGTTTACTGTTAACTGTTAATTACTGTTACTGTTGTAACATCCTATTAAAAGTGTACTGCTTAATATAGGCCTTTATCTTAGATTGTCTCATAGTTGTTATCGGAAAGACGTATGACGACGAGTAAAAATTTAAAAGTTAAAATTTTAGCTGGATTTTCAGATATAACCTAGGCTATTTCAAGTGTTGAATTATTATATCCCATAAAACTCACCCAGGTCTAGTAGCAAGCCCTTCGAGCACTTCAGCGGCTGCCAGATGTTCACCTGCGCGTTCCAGAACCTTCCAAAGCAAGTCCAATAATTGTAAAGCCGCTGGCGGTGAAGCAGCGCGGGCGGCTCGATGAAGGTAAGTACGTAGCGAGGCCGGCGGAGTTACTCCCAATGAAATCAACTCTATAATAAATCAATTCCATGTTTTAATTTTTATTCCGTAACATAACTAATAACTTAGTACATATAGTCTTGGCTAATAATAGAATCATAAGTTGTATTTAGTTATAACAGGCATATATAAGATTTACAATTAATCTTTTTGCGGCACACATTAATAATATAATAATTTAGTAATTAACTTTGTCTATGCTATATATATGTGACAGCCCAATGATTTAATCAACCATATATTTAGGAATGTAACGTAAAATTTAATTAAATTGGATTCTTTGTAGGCAAAGACATATATTATTACACAACTACACTCCACCAAATCTTAGAAGTACCTTTTGTCAGCTGTCACATTTATTAGACAAGGTATTCCAACTGAAAAATCGGTACCTATAGTTCTTTAAATGTAGCTTGATTAGAATGACAGCTGTCATTCTGATGTGACTTGTGCTGGGAACATTAAATCGATATATCGATTAAGTATTCATAAAATAAATATTAATAAGCAATATGCACCCAATACATATTAAAACCAAGTATTTAAACATTGGGACTCATTTAGGGCTATTAAAAAAATAAAAAATAGCAATAATAAATTTATTGACACAAGGGTATACGTTCTAAGTTACAATCATCATCATCAGAATCAGATTCACTGGAACAATCTTAGAGATTAATTATTACGGCAAACTATGACCTTTTCACATAAGCACGTATCATCTGTCCATGTATTTACCACAGTGTGATAAGTGATTTAATTCTCGTAAAATGTTATTCTTTCCAATTCTTTTGTAAAATGGTTCTCAATGACTCTAACCACCATTGCACAGGCCACCATCTTCTAAACTTACTACTCGCAAGTTCGCCGCAGTGGAAAATTATAACAAAATAGACTTGTTTAATTCATGATTCATATAATTTATGTAACTCTAAAAATTTAAATACACCACTAAATTAAAAATGTAAAGGAAAGATTATTTGAATATTTTTACCAATTATTCGGATCAGCACGAATTTGAATCATCCAAACACTACAGTAAGGTGAATAAATAATATCAATTAATAGGTGAATAAATAATATCATTGAAACAATGTCAAGCATAAAACTTTATATTGGTTTATTTTTCATATTTTGCTTTTTTAAAAGATTCGAACTTAAGTTAGTGATAAAACTATACATGTTGTAATGAAATATAGATAACTTCATAATTCTTTAAATTTACGTAAAATGTTATCTTAAATCGTGTGAGAACGCTTGTACAAAGTTATAGCGGAATGATTAATGTGAAACGTCAAAAGGTATTTCTTTTATTTGATTGAGTATAAAACCAGTAAAATTACATCAATTGTTGAAACCATCTTTTGAAACGACTGTTAGCCTCACTGTGGCCGAAAAAGGAACTCTATTACAACGACTTAGCGTCTCTTAATTCAGCCATATTGAGAGGTTATTTGAATAATTATTATTTATTAACCTTTCAAATAACTAGTTGATTAAGCAATTGGTCTGCGACATACACATGTAAAAGTCCATTTAAATGATATTTCAAAATATTAATAAATTTAATGCTCCATTTAAATGATCATGTAACTGTTCAATATTTATATCACATTGTTTGTGTAGTGACACTGCCTAGTCTGATAATTATTACAACCAAGCTTTAGTTTTTGAAAGTCCATTATATTAAAGTCGCTAAAAATTAATTTGCTAAGATCCGAGTAATAAAATAAAATGTTACCTAGTTTGAAGAGCACCTCCCACCCTCTTTCTTCTTCCCTACTGTAGTGTGTTGGGAATAGTGGTGCTAGAATTAGAGGTGACGGGTATAGTGCTTGCAATTGAGGAAGGGCGGGAGGTGCTCTTTAAACTAGGTAAGATGCATAATTTTTTTTAACAACTTTAATAAAAGAAAGAACTACCATGCTGAAAAAATCTTTGACTGTTTGTTACATAAAGTGCAAGTGATTCAATAGAAGAACACAAAATAAATTATAAAATTCTCTCATAATTGCCACTTTGGATTGTGAAACTTTAAACTTAGGTATTATTCTTCTCGGCTGTGGGCGAATTTAATAAGGTCTGAATTATCAAAATGATAATAAATATAACTTTTTTGTGGTACAGTAAAGCTAATATAAGTTATTCGATTTTCAAAATTAACACTGAAAAATTTTACCTGAACCCAGATTCTTAGACACCAGCCACTCGTAAACTGCTACATGAAGAAGCTCGTCGTCTCGCGATAAACATTCCCAAACTAGTTTTCTTCCCTGTAAAAATATTTAATTAACATATTACATGGGCCCTAATTATTTCAAACATCTGAGCAATATTTTAGACTGTTTTTACACTTCGAGCCGTCGTGTCACAAAAATAGCCTTGAGCGAATTAAAAAAAAAAACATTTTTAATTAACATTAAAAATATTGAATAAAACTATTTATACGGATTTTATCGCGTTTAATAAATCCATACAAATAGTTTTATTCAATGTGTAGTAAAATGTAATAAATCATTAGATATAGCTCAAATGATGAATTCTCCCTTTTATCAGTGTTTTTTTTAAATACTCACCTGGTAGTTGGCATCTGCTGCTGATAACGTGAGCGTAGCGTCAGCGGCGGGAGTTGCGTTGGAGCGTAATGGAGACATGTCATTGCTGGTCGCCTCCGCGCTACGCTCGTAAAGACGTTCTAGCGCTCCACAAACTTCTCGGTAAATTTCCATTCTGTGAAAAGCACACTAAAAATATAAGTATTTACAATTTGGGTCGGATAATATAGTGTAAGGAATACCATTCTCTAAGTAGAATACCACACCCTGACTGAATACAATTATCTAAGTGGAATACCACACTCTGAGTCGCCCCATCTATAAAACCGAGTGACCCGATCCACAAGCCCTGTTTCTGCGCCCCCTTTCGGCAAGGGGGGGGGGGTCGCTTCCGATACGGCAATAAGACCTTACCAGGTTAAAGCCAGTCTCAGGTGATGTTTAGTGGGTAGGCACTGAGGTTTCTCAGTGAATCCCACATAACCACGCAGCCGGCTGCGTGGTATGCTTAGAGCATTCACCACCTCCCTCTCCCGCTTCCCGGAGGGTAGCCCTTTACTTTTGCTTCTGGGCGCCAAAAAACCCACAAACTATTTTCGGTTCGCATCGCTCCCAATGTAGGGGTCTGCGAGAATTCCCGTCGGTCGTTGTAAGGTCGTGTGAGCCATTTTAGGTTCTTATATATCGACCATGAAAGTTAGAGAACAGGAGAACGATCGCCGTAGAAAATAGTGTCCCAGAAATATGGACACCATCAGTGAGACGCTGCGATCACTAAGTCCAGTCAATAAGTCATTTTCAGTCTATTTTTCCGATCAGATGCTAAACCACTTGCACATCCACGCACAATAAAATATTTCTCCATTTTTTAATGTTTCTTTTTGTCAAAAAATACAAAATTACGGAGCATGAAAATTTTCTACGGAAAAATGAAATGAATATTTGTACAATATCCAACTAACTTCAACTACTTGTGTACTCATAAACAGCTAACTTCGCAGTCACTACTCACCCACGTCAGCGCCGCTATGGATTCTACAATTTTCAAGGCAGGCGGGCTATGCTTTAGTACGTAGTGATCGTTCTCCTGTTCTCTAACTTTCATGATTTTGACAGTGATAGTGATTAAGTTTTCAAAGTGGGTTCGAGTTTATTTATTTTAAGCACTTTTGAATCTAAAAATAAATAATTAGTCATTGACTATCATAGACTATGTTATAAATAAGCCACTAATAGTCTATGATTTATTAAATATTAATAATAAATCATAAATAATTGAATTTTGTAAACTATTGATACAGTAAATTAATTATATACAAATGTTAGTTTCAATAGGTCATTTACATTTTTCTTGCAAAATAAACAAACCTTCTGTAATATGCGAGATGACCTTCTCTGTCCTGCGAAGGCTGATCACTTTTATAATAGTGAAGTGCTTTGTCCTGAGGATCAAGTTTACTAGCACAAGCTACACAGAGTTCCACCACTCCAGAATAAAATCCAACAGATATAAGTTTTGAGCAAATCAAAGGCAAATTCAAATTTGGCGCCACATCCTGAAAAATGGACAAACGGATAAGTAACTTATTAATATATTTTCAATTAATTTATTTTATTTTAATTTTCATCTTTAATAAAATATGAGTTACGTATTATGTTAGTTTTTATTATTATTTATGTATATAATTTTACCTTACATAACTTCAACGCGTGTTGTAGCATCTCCTCTCTTTCTGCTGGGTTCTTCTGTTGTTTAGCGAAAATTAACAATTCATTCGCCTGCAAAATAATTAATAACTGCAGCTCTGTTTTTGCAATATAAAACACTGGCCAAAGAAATCGAGTTTAGTGTTGTAATACGAACATAAAACACTACGGACCTTAGAGCATGTAGCATCTTCTTGTCTATACAATGTTGGGCACAACTGGCGTAACTTCTGTGATATTCCGTCCACCGAGGCGTTATCACGTAGGTAGCCAGCTACAAGTGATCCAAGCAACAAACATGCTACTTCTTGCCCTCCTACTAACAACTCCCTAAAATAAAGCACAAAATAATTATAATGATAATGATTTTAAAATTGTGATCCACTACGCAAAATACCCGCTTACAGTGGAGCGTAGATGCGAAAAATACCCCGTCGTAATATACTGTGAACCACCATTGTTCAGTTAACATTACTTATTTATTTAAAAAAAATGCAAGATATATGAATGATGAATCTGATTGTAGTCCTTTAAAAAGTCATAATAGAATGGCATTCATATGATTGTAATAAATGTATAAAAAAATATATAATGCCATTCGCCATTGTACAGTAACAAGAGTATTATTCACTGAAAATTTTTTGAACCCTCTGAAGGTCGCGTGAGTGGCTACGCAACATGCATATTGTTAAGAAGACAAAACTTAGTCGCGTCTTGCAGCGCCGCGAGTAGTTAAGAGTGTTACGTTCGTACATCGAATACATGCGCATTGCTACTTTACCACGCGCCGCTTCATACTCGGGCCTAGATTCAAAGGACTCAAAAAGATTTGTATGAATTATCTATTTATATATTTATGTGAATGAACCAGCTATATATAGATATTATCCATACTATATAAAATATAGTCCAATGAAATCCATTTCGTCTGGCAATGATCTGAAGCAAAGATAGGCATCATAAAGGCATCATAATTAACCCTTTCACCGCCGCGCTTTAGTTGACGTGGAGTGTCTCCAGCGCCAGGAACTTTTATTTAATATTTTTCATAGTGTTGGAACAACCGTTTATCGATAAATGAAACAGTTTTTAAAATTATAGAATATTATTTATTTTAATCAACATAACATTCTTCTTATTGGGTATTATCACTAGCTTTAATCAGTCTTAATTTTCATTAATCACATTGCATTTAATCAGCGTTAACTCTCTTCACAAAACTAATCAATATTCAGAAGATGGGCATGAACCTTGATCTAATATAGCTCCATTCCGAGCATGACATATTAAATTTATAATAAACCTGTTTTTAGACATTATTTTCGAAAATGTTGGTGATTGTAATAACGGATCTGTAGACCAGTGTTCTTCTATTGTAAGGTGTTTGTTTCGAGAAAATAAAAATTTCACAATTTTGTAACCCTGAATGAAGTCTTATATTGCAATGACGAATAAAATTTCGGTGTTGGGTATTAGTAAATTCCACTATTTTGCACACAATATCTTCACCTAGAAAATATAAGAAACAATCCAACTCGTTTGATTGAATATTAATAATAGTCTTTCTAATTAAAAGTTCATTGAATTCAGGCATAAACGAGGTTCTACTCCATATACTAGAAGATTCTTCATGTTCATGTGAAAATGTATAAATTAAGCAAATATAAAAGTGGTATATAAGTTTCTCAAATACCTGACTATTTTACATGAATATTTATTTACCGATTCAATATGCGGTACAGTGAGTTGTTTTTTTGTATTTTTTGGAGATTCGGAAATTTTGCCTATCTAGGTATATTTTGTTATATTTTACAAATAGTTTCTATTTCACTTTCATAAAACACAATATTATTTTCCAGAGGGTAAAAATAGTCACCCAGTATAAGATGTATTTTTTAATGATAGCCACATGTTGTACAAAGTTTCTACGTTTCTTGGTTGTTATTCAAAGTTTCTATACTAAAAATTGTTTCATTGCATGAATTATGTTGGTAGCCTAATTTTCCTTGAGTTCGTTTGAACGAGTGCCTAAAGGCAGGCTAGCAATAAAGTATGAAATACTAACCTGAAACTTGCTGCTTGCAGAGCATTCTGTTGATCAGGGGGAAGACTAGCAGCAATCACATGGAATTGATGTTCACAGAGAACCTGCCATAGGCTTAACATTTCTATTGCCATAGCTGAAAAAGACAACACCATCAACGAACAATAACGACCATGAAAACAGACAGTCGCAGTTTTATAAAGGAGAACATGTCACGCGAAATCTGTTGCTGGCCTATCAACCTAAGAATTCGTTTTCCAAGGCATCTTGTTTAATAATAACCAAATTCGTATTATTATAATATCTTTAAAGACTTTAATGAAATTGAATTGAATGAATGAATATCCTTAAGGTACCCACTGACGATACGTCCATTTAGTATACTTCCAAATAGACGCACTCCAAATAAAAATGTGTCCAGATATACGGTACCATTGACGATACTTCCGTCCTTCGAACTTGGCAGTCGTACAGAATGGAAATAAATAATAATATAGATAATAATACTTTACTGGTGACTGCAGCAGCGTGTATTTAATTAAAAAGACAAAAACCTAAACGGGGCAATCCACCGTAGTCTTCAAAGGTGACAACGCATCTATATTTTGATTCTTAATTGAGGATACATGTAAATGTCTATGGGCCACAGCACCCACCACGGTGGACTGTGTGCTAGTTTGTCACTCCCATTCTAGATATGGTATAGATTATGATGGAGCAGTATCGTTAACTGAGGTAGAAATTAAAGAAATCAACATATAGTGGATATTATTCATTATAACTATATGTGGTAGAACAACGTTGCCTCTATATTATGGCTGTAGCACAAATGAGTCGGCTCGAACGAAGAAGAACCACGATCTCACAAAATAGCAGCTTAAATTTGCTGCGTTTCCTACGCTGAGTGTAAAGAACCAGGGGTGACAACGCATTTACATTTAGATTCTTATTTGATGACAGATTCAATCTATGGGCTACAGTATCAACTTAACTCATGTGAAGTGTGTACTCGTTTGTCACCCATATCACAGCCCATAGTTTACATGACAAAAATATATTTAATCCAATACACAGTTTATGTTTCATAAACAGAGCACATGTACCACCATCAACACTAAAACATTAACTACAACCCGACACAATAACGTCCAAAAAATGGACGCCGGTTCGCCCATTCTCTGACAATTCGGACTGCTTCCATTTGGCGTGGCGCACGTTTTTTGCCGGACGGCCGCGGATGACGTTCATTTGGACTGGACGCATCCCAGCGGCCATAGCAATAGATGCTAGGAAGGTGAGAGACTTCTCCATCAGAATACTGACCGACAGTATGGCGGTACTACAAGCTCTGAGTTGCAATGTGACGAACTCGGGACTGATATACGAGTGCCATCAACGATTGTATGAGGTATGTAAGCACAACAATGTGACTCTGCAATGGATCAAGGAACACAGTGGATCTAGAGGCAATAATGCAGCAGATGAACTGGCCAGAAGGGGATCGGCCCTATCAACTATAGGGCCGGAACCAATAATACCAATCCCCTTTGGCTGCGTTCCTTCCCTGGTACATAGATACTTCAATAATTTACACGCTCAGCTTTGGAAAAATTTAGTAGACTATAGACAAGCTAGGGAGGCCCTACCTGAAATAAACAGTCGTCTATCCAAGGTTCTAATGAGACTGAACAAGCCACAGATCAGGATAGTAACAAGTGCTATCACAGGACATGGCTCTTTTAACAAACATTTGTTCACCATAGGTGTTACTGACAGCCCCCTGTGCAGGGCATGCATGGGAGAGGAAGAAACGGCGGCTCACGTGTTGCTCACATGTCCAGAAGTCGCTTCATACAAACATCTCGGCACGCCGGGATCGCTCCCCGAAGTTGTTTGAAACATCAAGGGACTGCTGAGCTTCTTCGGGGAGATATCATGGCTCGAATAAGCATATTATTTCTGCCCACACACAAAATACGCGGTTAGACGTGGAGTTGCGGAAAACAGCCCGTCGTAAACTAAAAAAACTAACGTCCAAAAAATGGACGCCGGTTCGCCCATTCACTGACAATTCGGACTGTTTCCATTTGGCGTGGCGCACGTTTTTGACATTGCCGGACGGCCGCGGAGGACATCCATTTGGACTGGACGCATGGATTTCAATCTATTTGGAAATCCAGAGCTGGATGAAATCCATCCAAATGGAATATGTTTTTACCATTCACGGAACGATTTTGGACGATTACCATTCCATTTGGATTAATGGACGTATCGTCAGTGGGTACCATTACGTGGTAGAACCATGCTGCTACTATATTAGTAGTGAATTTTAAGCATGAATGGGTCGACTCCACCGGGGATGGACCACGCTCTCACAGAATACCAGCGTAAAATAGCAGCTTAACGCTGCTGTGTTTCATATGGTGAGTAGAACCAGAGCCCTCTTTCACTGGAAACGAGCCATTACATCTTGCATCTGCATTTTGATTCGTAATCGACGCAAGATGTAGGTGTCTATGGGCCACAGCAACCACTTGCCGTCGGGTAGAATGTGCGATCGTCTGTCACTCTTATTATAAAAAGAAAAACCTTTTTACAGAAATATAGTAGGTCACAAGTTTTTATAAATTCAAGTTTTACGCTGTTAGTATTATTCTCAGAACCTCAATATTGAAAGTAAACAGAGGAATTTGCTTACTTATAAAAAGCTTCAATGCATGTATGGACGCATGTTCTTCTGAATGCGGTGGAGCCACCGGGCGCTGCATGAACGCCACGACACGTTGTAACTTTTTTACAATGTATGCACAGTCTTCGCCCGTTACTCTACTGCTCATCTTAAATAAGACACAAAATGACGCTTATAAAGTGGATTGTTATTTCATCAATTAAAACATTAGTTGAAATAGATTATCAGCCTAAGTTGTAGATTAAAAAAAATGACTACCACCAGTCAACATTGAACACAAGTTTTAAAGGAGCTCAACGCAAATTCGAGTTCCACTGGCACAAATGAAATTGTAACTACAATTTTAAGTGCTGATTTATCACTAGTTCGGCGGTGATGGAATGCAGTGTGAGGAAAGCAGCTTGTCTTAGAAATTTAAGTACTTGCAAAGACAGATGAAGTCAGACAACATTTGTTAGGGCAGCACAGGGGATACTTCCTTACTGTAAAACCCTTTTAGAAATGAGAGGTTTGTACCCAGCAGTGGAATGTATATAATATAAAGGCTGTAACTTTACTTTTATAGGAATTAACTAGGTAGCATATAATTTTATTTAAGATACTCTGTTTTCGACAGTTATTGACACAAAGAAGTTTTAACCTAAAAAGTAAGTATCAATATAGTGATTTGTTTTAGTGCCAGAATCACCATATAATAATCAGCTAAAAGTGAACAAAGTTCTCTGATTCTCCCCTTATATACTTTTATAATTCTTTGGAAACTGAGTTATAAGATCGCCAACATCGCCGTCATACAACAACGTTATTTTATTTTTTGAAAATAATAAGACATCTCTAATTATTCGGTGAATGCACAACATATTATGCAAAGGAGATATAAAAATAATGGATAAATAAAATTGTACTTACAAATTCTTTTTTGTCTGGTGTAAGAGAAATGGAAACACACTTTAGATTCCAAATAGGTGAAAGAATTCTACCCACATATATGTACATTGCATTGTGTTTAGCACTGTACTCTACTTGTATTGGATAGTTTGGATCTCTTTGATGTTGAGTTACATTGCCCAAAAATGATGACTGATTAAATGCAGTTGGACTCATTACATTGTGATGGAGTGGTGACTGCGGCATCACAGATTGGTTTGGTGCCCCACCTACAGACTGATTCATATGTGCTTGCTGATACGATTGATTCACTTGACCGGGCCTAATTTGATCTTGTGGACCTCTCATTGTCATTGGTGTAGACATTTGACGAGGTGAAAACTTCGGAGATCCTAAAAATAGTTTTTTTTTTAATTTTTAAGGTCAATAAAATAATCATGTGAAATATAACTTGCATATAACATAATTACCACATAGCGGCAGTGTAAGAAAAACCAAAGCTCCATATTTCCCAGTGGGTATCTTAATAGACGACAAAGGGTAACAAATCAGGAGATAGGCAGCTTTGTTTTTCCAATAACAACTAAAAACTAAAAAACTACTGTTGCCAATCGCCTGCCAAATGTAGCCTCTATGACAAATATCCCCCTTATAAGGCAATCAATTGGGGAGGCATATATTTCAACAGCCGTGGTAGCTCAGATGGTTAACGCTCACTGTAAACATAACAGAACGCGAGTAACCCGGGTTCGATCCCCGCCGGCACCAATGAAATTGTTAATTGCAATTTTAAGTGCTGATTTACCACGTGCTCGACGGTGAAGGCAAACATCGTGAGGAAACTTGCATATCTGAGGATTAAGAAAAAAAATATTTTGAAGACATGTGAAGTTTGCCAACACGCATAGGGGCAGCGCGGCGGACACTTCCTTGCCCTAAAACCCTCTCAGAAATGAGGGGTGGCCTGTGCGCAGCAGTGGGACGTATATAGGCTGTAACTTTACTTTTTATTTTAACAGTGGAATTTTGATAGGTATTACATAATTTGAACATTTAACAATTAAGTAATAGCAAAAAATTTAGTTTTTACATGTACACTTCTTTCAAAAGAACTTTCATACCTATGCTGCTTGAAGGCATTTGCGAAGTTTGCTGATATATAGGTGCAGGTGTAAGCTGACTACCGTAAAGGTAGAAAGCACGCGTCGCCCACTCACTGATAGACAAATCGCCACTTGTTATTTCCTCGCAAGCCAAGTACAAAGCACAAGCACATGCTTGTTCCACTCTATGTAACTGTAAAACGATAGTAAACTTATTAGTGAAAAGCAAACAAACACAATGGCATAACAATATGTTTGGCTACAAATTTGATTCGTTTTTTATTTTATTTATTTATTTGTGGGAGCTAGTGTAGATGTCACAATGTTGTGTTGTGTGATAACTGCTAGGTGCGCGCAGGAGTTGTACAAATAAAAGATAGCTCCGTACTAATACTCGCAGTTTAATGTTCACACAGAATTATTAAGTTACACTGAAATAATAGACAGAAGGAGAATGCAACTCGAGAACTTACAATAAGAAAGAAGTACAGAGATAGAGAGAAACTAAACACAAGATAATAAATTAACAATAGATCGGCACACGTAAGTAATTCGAGATCGTGAGACAAAGCAACAGTATCTCCGCGTCAAAGTACGTAAGCTACCGAGCGACTCAACGATCGGTCAAGGGGGCGGCGCTTAAATACCGTCGGCTGCAACCACTGCCGCACAATATTACCATATAAGGTCTTGCTTCAATTATCAACATCTTTTACAAAATATGGTCTTGTTTTTTTTTTCGTGTCGTCTTGTTAAGACGGCGTCGCGCGGAATCGAACCAACGATTCGTCGGTCAGAAGATAAGGAGTGTATAGTGTAAATGCGCGTGTGTGCGAGTGTATGTATCTTCCTGTGAAATGTACAAGAGTCCCCTACATATTACTGAACAATAGAGAAAAACTTCACAGAAAGAAAGCTACAGATATGCTGGTATCCAAAACAAATTAATAACTCTCAATAAAAAGTAGAAGCCAACTTAAAACAACTAAGAAAAACAAAAAACTTTCCACACAACAGCTTCTGAAGTAGTAGTTGGCTTTTGGATACTTTTGAGTGAGCTAAGAAATATCACAAGCTCAAAGTAACAACTAGAATGTCATAAAAATCTTTTTATACGTATTATATATATAAAAATTTATAAAAAAACCTATACACCTTCTGTCCGTGTATGTGACTGCACTCCTAAGCAGCTGGCCAAATTTTGTGAGTGTGATTGTTGGTAATGTTGATAAGTCAGGAACGGTTTAGATTGATTGACAATTAAACACAGCAGGTGACATTGTCGAGATCCAAAAATCACCCGGGTGAAGCCGTGGCGGATCTCCCGTAGTTATATTTTTTTATAAAGAATATTAACAACGCTATAAACATTACTAATATTCCTCTTAACCACTCGTGGTAAACTTAAATTGCTTGTGTTACGAGTGGTTCACGCCAGTAGTCGAATGGTGGATACGAACCCACGATCTTTTTGAGTACGCGGTCCGCGCCCTGCCATTAGGCTACTGTCGCTTCAAAAATATAAAAAGCTAATTCCCTAATCAAACACTTTTAGGAGTTGAATTTTTTTAGATAGTCATAGTCGGAGTTAATGTTTACATACTTGGAAGAAATCTTTGACGGGTTGCGCGTCAGGACCGCGGCAGTCACGTAACAAGGTGCGCAGCAGCTCGGGCGCCGCACCAGCTGCCAACACTGCCGCGCCCGCAGCCGTCACCACTGCCCACCGAGACCACGCCCACACCTCTGCAAACATAAAAACTTTTTTATTAAATATAGATCATAAAAAATACTTATTGAAAGTCATTTTTTATTTAATTTAGCACTAGTTCTGAAAAACCAGTGTCCTGGAAAAACCAGCAAGAAACCCAGCGGGAATTTAAAAAAACAGCTTACAATCATATACATTACAATTAACAACACAAAACATATTAGAAAGAGCATGGTAGCGATCACCTTTCCCAGGGGTTATTACTTATTATCATCCATAAAATCCTTAATATTATAATAACCCTTTTTTATACAAGCTTAGTTAAATAAAGTTTTGAACATTGCGCAGGTCAAATTTTGTATATTTTCTGGGATTTTGTTGTAAAAGCGTAAGATCTCAAGAATGAATTTCTGACTCGGTGGAGTCGAGTCAGTACTAGCTTGTGTTTGTTTCTAGTATTTACAGAATGAATATCACTTATTTTTGTAAAACTACTTTTATTTTTGTGTACGTAAATTACATTTTAATGTATCGAGAGGCCAAATTATTATATTAATTTACTTAAATCTTTGTCTAAACTACTCTTTAAGTTGTAAATCATATATTGCTCTAATGGCCCTCTTCTGTAAAACAAATATAATTTCAGTGTCGATCACATGTCCCCGTAGCAAAATACCGTACGACCTTATGCTATGGAATGGAAATAGCTAAAGTAAACTAACGCAAATTTTTTACTCCATAGAAATTTGACGTTGGTAAAAAAATTACCACAAATATAGACCTATTATTTTACAAAATAAAAAACAATTTCTTACTGATTTTTCATTTTAATACACAAAAATATTGTTTTAAATTAAAATGTTGATTTAAATTATATCATACAATTTTAAAAGTACATATTTTCCTTAAATTCAGTGTGGGCACAGGTAATTAGTTTTTGCCGACTGGTATCATTGTTATGGAAATAGTGGTCATGCAGAGGTAATAAACCTATTTTGTAATTATGTTTAATAGAACTAATGTTAATTAGAAGTAAAACCAAGTTATCGCCAAAAAAGAAAAAAAAAGGAATATCCATTCTATGAAAAATGACATTAGTTGTCTATATAATCTTTGAAATGTCTATGAATGCCGAATATCTGTGCATCGCGCTGTCATGTGTCTTTCGGCTTCTGAATTAAATGCTCGGATGTGCTCATTGTTGCTGCGGGTTGTTTTTCGTTATACTTTTGTTGAGTGTTTGGCTTACGTTTTATTTTGACGGTTTTGTGTTCAAAACGAAAGCATGGAGCCAATTCCTGGACCTTCATCGGCGCCGGAGAAGCACCCTTGTGCTTCTGATTCGGTTCTCACTTCAATGGACCTATCAAATGAATCAGATTTTCTTTTTACGAAAAAGAAGCGTCCTCGTGGTGCTTTTTCAGTTAACGCGAAAATAATAATTATTAATGTTTAAAAGCATAACATTGAACGCTGGTCTGAAACCACTGAGAGGAGTGCAACTGATTGTGCAAAAAAACAGCTGACATGACTGGAATGTCTGAGCTAGTGTGTACAACATTTTAAAGGAGTACAAAAGAAACAAAGAAGTGCAAAAACCTAAAAAAAAGTGAACAGCACTTATCATTTAAAGAAAAAATGGATGATTTCACTTTATCTTCCATCAGCAGGATAGTGCATCAATTTTTACCAACCAAATTTGGATACCAACTAATAATAATAATACAGCCTTTTGTCCGGTGTGAATAAGACAACGCATATAACGGTTGGGTCATGCCTGTCCTCATGTATACCTTTGGCATACTCAGATGGACTCAGACTGAACTTAACGCCCTGGATAGAAAAGTCCGCACTACCATGACGTCCCATAGGAAGCATCATCCGAGATCGACGGTAATGAGGCTGTACTTGCCGCGAAAGCATGGTGGGCGTGGCTTTCTGAGCGCGCTCACCGTGCATAATCGCGAAGTGTGCAGCCTCCGTGATTACTTCCTGGCGAGATCGGATGATCCATTCTATAATGACGTCATTTCTAGTGATAAAGGGCTTACCCCTCTATCCTTAGCCAACGAGCAATGGCAGGACCCAGGAGTGCTTAGCATTTCCGACCGGGAGACCGTATAGAAGGAGAAGGAGCTCCACGGGAGGTACTACAGGTCTCTACATGAGCCCTTCGTAGATACAGTCGCCTCCCTCAACTGGCTACGTTTCGATGACCTCTTCGGGGAAACCGAGGGTTTTATTTGTGCAATACAGGATCAGGTTATTAAGACCAACTATCGCAGATACATCCTAAAGGATGGCACCATCGACATTTGTCGAGCTTGTCGCCAGCCCGGTGAGTCACTTAGGCATGTCATCTCCGGTTGCTCGGCGCTTTCTAACTCTGAGTACTTGCACAGGCACAACCCAGTAGCCAGAATTCTACACCAGGTGCTCGCTCTCAAATACGATCTCGTGGACCGGAAAGTGCCGTATTACGAGTACTTTTCGGAAGCCGTGCTCGAAAATGACCGCGCCAGGCTCTACTGGGACCGGGCCATCATCACAGACAGGACTATCCTGGCGAATAAGCCTGATATTGTGCTGATGGATCGGGCACAGTCAGGGATATTTTTGGTCGACATTACCATTCCGTATGACTAGAACCTCGTGAAAGCCGAAACAGATAACCAATCAAAATATCTGGACCTGGCTCACGAGGTGACCGACTGGTGACGACTGATTATTCCTGTAGTCTTGTCTGCAAACGGGTTAATCCCAGCCAGCCTCTCGGGCCATCTGAGGCAACTGGGACTCCGTGACTGACCGCTCCGGGCTCAAATGCAGAAGGCGGTGCTCCTCGATACCGACCGCATCGTCCGCCGGTTTCTTTCCCTTTCCCCCTTACCCTCGGCCGTTTGGTCTCTCCAGCCGAGCTTCTGCTTCCATCTGGTTGGGCTTTTATTTATTTATGTATTATTTATTTATTTATGATAGTATATTAAATATACATTTAAGTATATTTATTTTTCCTTTTATATATTTATCCAGCCCAATCAGATGTGATTAATCTATCAATAACCCAAAATAATAATGAGCTTTTTATTTGTCTCAGTTACACATGTTATTAAAAATGTACAAATAAAAATCATCACAAACTTAACTTAGAAACATACTTATGTAACATAAAAGTAATGAGACAAACTGGCCTGTGACTCAGCTATGTGGTGAATTTAGGTCACCGCTGGTATTCTGCCACAGCCGACTATTTTAAAAACACAGTATCTTAACCTAATTTTGGCATTGACGTAATACAACTAAAGAATTCTAAAATATTTATTCATATGTGCTATGAAAATTTAGGTAAAGGAGACAATTGCCTCTGAGCCCACCAGAAACTTCAATGACCCTCTATGGTATTAGCCTAAAGATTTTTTGAAAATTGAATCATGAACTATTGTAAGAATTAAGTTTGTAATTATATATAATACTTCATACCTGCCTCCAACTTTTGTTCTTCAAGTAACCATACTTTGCATTTCTTTCTAAATAAGTTTGTATTTACGATCTCCTGCAAAGGAGGAGGTATATTATTCCAAATTTTGGATGCAGCATATTTGAAACATCCTTTCGCTTTAACACGCTTATAAATTGAAAGTATATATAATAGTTTACCCCTTCGTCTCAAATAAAGCTAAACTATTGAAAAGGTAATGAAATAATATTATTATATTATATTAGAAAATTTTGTCATTTAAAATTTCTAACACCAAGAACAACAACAAAAAAAAAAAAAAAAAAAAAAAAAAAAAAAATTAAAAAAAGAAAAAAAATTATACCAAAATTAAAACCTGGTACTTGATAATGCTCCATACAACTCAAGAAGAGTTGAAAGGATACCAACTACAAATTGGAAAAAAGCAAGCATACAAGTGTGGTTGGTATCAAAAAACTTAACATATGAAGACAGCAGATTACACAGCCATAATTACCAACAATATGTAATTGCCATTAAAATGAAAATTATTAACATTAAACAAATTTACTAATTTAGATATAGCATTATTTACTTCGTCATAATTTAGTAACTGTAGTTTTAATTTGAAAATTAATTAAGTATCATCAGCAAATAATATAAAATCATGGTTATCCTCTACTATGTACAATAAGTCATATATATATGTATATATATATATACTAGAAGGGGCCGAAAATCGAGCCCTGGGGCACACCCATTTGTACTATCGACCCGGAAGAACTCATACTATTAAAAATAACTCTGTTCTGTTACTCGAATATGAAATAATAAATTTAAGAGCATCACTTCTTACACCGTAGTGTTGAAGTTTCCTGATTAATGGTTCATGGTGAACACAATCAAAGGCCTTGGACAGGTCACAGAATATACCTGAAGCATCCTGTGAATTCTATTTAATCAGCTCAACACCAGCATCAGTTTCCAACGACCCCTTGTGAATCAGAATTGATTTTTAAGTAGTATAAGTTTCCATTAAAAAAAATTCAAGATTTGATCAAGAATATTTTTTTTTTAAATTTTAGTAATTTTACTAATTTTACTCAGTACAGAAATAGGTCTAAAATTGGCGGGGTCCATGTACTACCAGATTTAAATAAAGGTATTACTTTACTATAATCCCCATTAAATCCGGAAACACACCAGATTCGACACCAGTATTAAAAATAATAGATAGTTGAGGTGCGATTGTATCTGTTATAGACGCAATAACTTTCGGAAAGCCTCTGATCAGAAAGATCTGTGGTTTTCTTAATATCAATAGTTTTAAAAAATTGTAAAAATATCTTTCGATGTTCTTTAATGAAATGTTAAATTCTTTGTACACGCATTTACATTTTGTTTAAGTAATATACTAATATACAAACAGAGCCGTGGTAGCTCAGATGGTTAGCGCTCGCTGTAAATTTCACAGTACGCGAGCAAACCGGGTTCGATCCCCGCCGGCACCAATGAAATTGTTAATTGCAATTTTAAGTGCTGATTTACCACGTGCTCGGCGGTGAAGGAAAACATCGTGAGGAAACCTGCATGTCAGAGAAATAAGAAAAAAGATATTTCGAAGACATGTGAAGTTCGCCAACACGCATTGGGGCAGCGCGGTGGACACTTCCTTGCCCTAAAACCCTCTCAGAAATGAGAGGAGGCCTGTGCTCAGCAGTGGGACGTATATAGGCTGTAATACAAACATTCAGATCTTTATATTAATATGCTAAGGGTAAACTTTATACCCTTTTTAAACCATATTGCTCACAGGTAAGGATGTGAGATTTTGCATAGTCGAAGTTTATGTGGAGAAGAAGTGCAGAAAGCTAAAATTTCTATATATTGTGTTAAAAATACATAAAATTGAATTAAATAAAAAATTCATTATTTAGGTTCATACTGCGCATGTCACAGAGTAAGTTTACTCTAAGCCTAATGTCAAACGCTTAATTATGTATGTTTGAACAGTTGCACAGAGTAGAGATTGTCCCCAAATAATTAATAAATATTGCCAAAAAAAAATTATTGATAGATTTATTCAAGCTATGAATTTAGTACGATTTCGAATGATTTCTTATATTTACGCGAACACTATACATTAATTAAAACTACTTTTACGGATTTTATCGCGTTTTATTTATATTAATTTTAATACCCAACGTTTCGGGTGCTTTGCAGCGCCCATGGTCCCGGGGGACTGAGGTGACTGACGTCCCGATGTCAAAGTTAACCCGGAGTACCTTCAGCTTTTTATTTATTGTCTTTGGTCCGATCTATGCAGAATGAACTAACTGTATTTTGAAGTCTTGCAGTGGTATGCTTGGGTTTAGTTTTAATTTTATTAATTATAGGATCCCAAGCAGGTGGTAGTACCCAGCCTCCTTCTCTATTGAAATTAGGATGTTTTTTAATTTCAATAGCCTCACGTAACAATCCTTGGTAGGAATCGGTGTTCTTTCGCGAGAATTTGTGGTCTATCAAATCTGATGTAATGGTTGGGGCCATCTAGAATATGATCGCAAACTGCAGACTTCCCGGAACGTTGATGCTTCACGTCACATAGCTGACGCGCACGCGCACGCGCACGCACACGCATGCACACACACACACACACACCCACACACAAATACGTAAATGCAAAACCAATACATTAGTATAAATACGAATATTTAACAATATTGTAATTAGTGTAGTAGTGTAGTTAATATCATGTATTTATTATAGCTTTCTTTGTTTGAAGTTGGCTGTAGGTGTTCATGGACTGCAGTAGCCACTTAGCATCAGGCGGACTGTAGGTTCCATTGACACTTCACTTTTATGAGAAACAAAAACATATTTACCACACTATACTGCATTTATTATAATAATAATATTAAACAACTTTGAAATAATACTACTTTTTACGGAATTTATCGCGTATATTTAACTTTTTAATACCCAACGTTTCGAACGCTTTACAGCACTCATGGTCACGGGACGGGAGTCCCGCCCGTGGCCATGAGTGCTAAATTCCGTAAAAACTAGTATTATTTCAATGTGTAGTGTTCGCGTAAATATAAGAAATCATTATTAAACAACTTTTTCTTCAAACACCAAACTAGCCTATTATTATCCAACTTTAGAACTTACAGACTGACATGGAGCAGCATCTTCGCTGCGAGTGTTCTACACTAAACAAGCCTATCATGGCGAGCATTCTTGAAACAAAATATATCCAGGATTGGATTAAAAAAGCCTGATTAAAAAAATCCCTTCAAACAAATAAGGCACTAAAATTTCATGTATATTTACTTAAGTGTCCGCGCATCAAGCAGTTTAGGAATTACTAACAAAGGGAATGAAAGGAACACAATACATTTAATATAGGGTAAAAACTAAATGAAATATATAAATATCCCAAGACTAATTTTTTTTTACATATTGCAGCTTATATTAACTAAATACAAGTTTCTAAAAAAAATGCTTTAAGTACCTTATGTTTTGATGAGTTAGCTGAAGGTTGTTCTTTAAGTAAAAATATATGATAAAGTAAAAAGATGATAAACCTCGTTTCAATAGCAAGGCAGAAGAAAGCCGCGTTGCTTGCTGTGGTGGCAATGCAGTGAGAGCCCACGCAGGACCATCTAATGCCAGCACTGTGTGAGCTTCGCTGAAGCCCGCACCTCCTGGAAGCACTTGTGATAGACACCATAGTGTCTCAGCTTCACCACCACCTCCGGCTGAACACACCATCACTAGTGTACCTGAATTTAAAAAAATGGGTATTAGTGCAATTTTGTCAGTCTTCATCTACCAAATTTTCATTTGTAGGCTAATTAAGTGTAATTTAAAAAAGGGACAGAATCATTCATTATGCAATTAAGCTTGAAAAATTGGTTTCGAGTTAATATCATCATTTATTCTCCAAATATTGGTAAAAGTTCACTAATCAATAAACATTCAGACTTATTGAAAAAAGTGACATTGGACTCCAAGGATATCAATATGTTATTTATTGAAATTAGATTTACGAAAGTCGGATCCATTACATACACCATCTTCAAATAATAAGTTAAGTATTAGTAAGTGGTTTAAAGTTTAAGGAACTCTGTTAGGAATTGTAGTAAAACTCTTGATGTCCGATTGATACATAATGCCATTTTTACCATGAGGAAATAAATCTATGTTTCTACTTCATTCACCAAATACTCCCTGTATTTAGTGAAAGTAAAAGCATAGATACTTTATAACCTCAGTCCTAGCACATGCCAGAAGTATAGATTTTTCAGAAAAAAGTGTCTCCGGTTCTCTACACTCACCATATGAAACAAGGCAGCATTATGCTGCCATTTTAGTAGTAGTTATATTTACTTTTATTTTCTTTAAAACTTTTTTATTGTGTTCTGTAATCATAATATGTAAACAATATTAAAGACAAACCATTTTCATATACAGCACTGTGCACTTGTTTGGGTCTTAATACTGAAGAATTAGGGGTAAATCCTGGTGGCAACCTCACATGCAGTAAACTAAGGTATTGAGGCCTTTGTGGTCCACTTTGATTAATGCTGAAATACATTTATTAAATTTATTTATATAACTTGCAATAGGAATTAAGTGAAAATAAAAATAAAAAATTAAAAGTTGATACACACTCCACACTTCCAGTACTAAAATACAATCTTGCGCCAGTTTGTGTTACAGCTACAAGGTTTAAATGTTCCGACTCAGCTTCATCCACAGCAGATATTGCAATAACTGGTTTAAAGTTACTGGCTTCTAATGTTCTGTAGTTAAAAATGGAATTACATATTTTATTTATTTATAACAATATTGTGGTTACTTTGTACAGTAGTACTATCATCATATATGGCAATACATACCTTACAATATCGACAGCACAAGACACAATTTTGCCCTGTGTTAATCTCACAACCCTACTTATACTTTCTCCGTCACTTCCCAAATCAAACACTTCTATGCAGCCTTTTTCACTTAATGTGTATAAAATATGTCGGGAATTGTCAACTTCGATTTTAACAATAGGATCTTCATCATACAATGCTGCATTAAGAAATGAAGGTACCAAAAATGAAAGAGCACTTGTGGAATGATTAATTTTCTTACAATGTTTACCAAACCATCCCAACTGAGCCTAGAAAAATGCTATGATTAAACTAAAGGGATTGGTATTGACTGTTTTAATATTTATCTCATTGTTATTGTACCTGGTACGTAATTTCATACAGACATCCGTCTTTACCACCCATGAAAATGCGTCCCTTTGCTGTGGACTTCACACACATCATAGATACACCATCTGTTGGTAAGACAAAAACTGGTTCTGGCACTAAGTGTATCTCTTCAAATTCACCTGTTCCATCATTTTTACTAGCTGAAAATGTTACACCTAAGGAAAAGTGAAAAAAAAATATTTATATTTTTAAGACAACCTAAAATGATAGAGCATTTTTTAGATTATTAATATGTGACATTCACTCAATTCACATTGTGTTAATCAGAGACAAGGATTTGAGCGAACATTTAAAAAGAATATTACAATATTTAAATATTATTTTTGCTATAACTATGCTCAGTATAATTTATAAATAGGCCTTACCTAAAACTACAACTTCCACTGTGGTTGTTAATACAAGTAGATATTTTACAAAATTTTGAAATACTCCAGGCTTCGGCTTCACTAAACCAACACTCACAATGGTCTCTCCTAAACCATCAAAATAGGCAACATCGCACCCATGCTCAAATGCCCATACATAAATATTGCTGTCTATAGCCAGCCACACTCTACTTATCTCTGGAAATACTCCCATCAAACAATGACATTGCATATCTGATTATATGTTGTAAGGAAAAGTAACAAATATGGAGTAACATACAATACTTGCAACTTGGTGAATCTGATTTTGTGAATCTGACAATCATAAGTCTTGATCAAAATATCAATCACACAAAGTACAACACAGAAGTACAAAATTACATGAATTACAAAAAGGATACGAGCAAAATGCTCCATAATTTCTGGTGGCAAAGGCACTTTGTTTAATATTTTCAGCTGCGATAAATTTTGGTGATTGAGTATGGCTGCAAGGTTCCTGTAGTCTCCTGCGTTCAATCCACTGCATGTTGGACTCCTTTGTGCTGCTATTCCAGTTATCTATAAACCATAATTATCAAACACTTATTTTTAGCTTTTTATAAAATTTATTTATTATGACTTAAGGAGAAATTACAACTAGTTACGAATGTATGAACAGCAAAAAAAGTAAATGTACTGAAGGCCAATTAAAAGTATCCACTTATAAAGTACAGAGAAAAACTGCACAAGAAATGTAGACAAAGACACAATTACACAATAATAGACTTCATAAGTAAAATGAAGTAAATAACAATAAATGGTATATGTAATACACTTCAGTAAACGAAAACTTATTACTCAATAGATACTTGTTGGCTGCACACCTCTAGTGTTAAATAAGCCTACAGTGTATATTCTCACCATGTCATTGAAAAATTTTCTCAATCTTATTAAATAAGAATTTTGCCGAAGTTGCAATGCACATGGAACTTGTAAACATATTTGCTGACATTTCATGCAAAACAGTCAAACACAAGTCATAAGTTAAAAAAAGTCATAAAAGATTAAAAAGTCTATTACTTATTCCAGATTTAAAAAAATATTGCAATCATCAACACTTTAATGCAACTATTGACACAAATGTACATAAAGTGGTTGGTTATTTTATTTCATTCAAAATCAAATTAAATAGACATCTCAACAACCACTCTGATATTAAATTTTAGTAAAGTAAAAGTAAATTAAAGTTACAGCATATATACATCCCACAGCTGGGCACAGGCCTCCTCTCATTTCTGAGAGGGTTTTAGGGCAAGGAAGTGTCCACCACGCTGCCCTAATGCGTGTTGGCAAACTTCACATATCTTCGAATTATTTCTTTTTCTTATTCCTCAAACATGCAGGTTTCCTCACGATGTTTTCCTTCACCGCCTGGCACGTGGTAAATCAGCACTTAAAATTGCAATTAATAACTGCCTGCACCAAATCATTGGTGCCGGCAGGGATCGAACCCGGGTTACTCGCATTCTGTTATATTTATCTGAGCTACCACGGCTCAATAAAATTTTAGTACCGTAATGTAATTTCATAGTCACTCCATGACTGACTTGACATTGGCAGAATTTATTACAAGATTGTCATAAATTAAAAGATGCTACCTAAAATCATACAGTGTATAAAGAAGACCCATTAGATCCAACAACACATTTAGTCTTTAGCATACTTGGCTGTACAATCACTTACCATCAGTTAGGAATAGGATTAGTAGTAAAGAACTGGCTAAGAATAGTAATAAAAAAATCTACTGTGCCTAAGAACGACCTCCCCAAGCTCAGGATCCGGCTTAATCACAATGACCAAGTTAATTAAGCTAACGTCTATTAAAGTTATGAGAAAACATCATATTATCACTACAATAAGTCATGGAGTCATAAGCAAGGGGCTATTAAGAAAATTTGAAAGTATCAAGTCTATACGAAATAAGCTAAGGAATATATTACAACTTATAAACTTAAATAATAACAGTTAATAAGCTTCAAACTTACTTCTAAAAATGAAGGGCGGGAATTATCTACAATAATGTACCGGTCAAGGGTGCAGCCGGCCAATTCTAAGCATTCCAGTTGCATTATGCCGCCGTTTGACTGTCTTGATCCTTCAAAACTATTTATTATGCTTGGCATCTAAAAACATTATTTAGATGCTTTAGCACCTACCTAACAAAACATTAAAAGAATATCACTGAGTTAAACAAGAGGTTATAGGCTACCTCTTGCTGTCAAAATTTATTTGACAATTTGACATGCATTGCATTGACTTCAACTCACCTTTACATTACAACCACAGTTTTATTTAAATAATATTGTATCGGAAATAATAGTATTTGAAGAAATGTAGCTGATAAACTTTGTATTGGAAGGTTAATATCAAGAACAGTTTTATTTTGTCAAGTCAGGGTATTCATAAATAATATTTCTAATTTGTACAACTTTCAAAACTTCAAATTACTAAACCGTCACCCCATAGAGTAGAGTAATATATACCATAGATAAATAAATATGTAGCAAGCTGTATACAGAATATGATATATACAGAAACGTCACCCTATGGAGTGTAGAGGTAAGGAGGAGTACAGACTGATTATTAAAAAGTGTCCGTGGGAAACCGTTAAATAAGGGTGGCGCCACTATAGTAGCTACGGGGTAAATTTTAAAGAACGCGTCGAAAAATATTAGTGGAATAGTCAACTTTTTCAAGGTTATATTTACTAAATAAAATTATTTAAGATTTTAGAGCTATGTACTGCGCAGTTTAGCAGCACACTTCACACCGTCGACAACTGCTAAGTTCATTTCATGTAGCTGTTTCCTGTAGCTCCAGCGCTGTTGTGGAGAGTTTTTGAACTGTTATTTATTGCTTATAGATGGACACTTTTATAACTATTCTCCTTATCTCTCATAAGTTGTTAACTGTTCTCCTTACCTCTACACTCCATACGTCACCCGTCAGTCTGCTCCACAGACTAATAAATATGTATATACGCAATAACAACCAAAAACATGAAATTACTTCCATACTACATCAAAATATAGCAGGTTTGCTTAACAAAATTGATTCGATAGGACTATGTATTGATGAACTAACAAATAAGGGACAAGAAATTAACTTTTTATGTTTTAGTGAAACATTTGTTAAAAAGGGAGATGAGAGTAACATTCAGTTTAAAAATTTTAATACAGCTTCACTATATTGTAGAACAAAAGAAAAACGTGGAGGTGTATGTATTCTTATTAGAAAGTCAATAAAATTTAAAGTCATACATTTATGCTATGAATTATCTGCAGACAAAGTTTTTGAGTGTTGCGGAATAGATGTACCAAGTTACAAATGTGTAATTTTTTGTGTATATAGAACTCCCAATTCGCCAGTATCAATATTTTTCGCCGAACTTGATCTTCTTTTTCATAAATTAGCATTTAAACTTAACAAAAAGAAAGTCTTATACAATATTGACACACTTAAGAATAATAACGTCACTCATGACTTAAAAAATTTGTTATACAGCTACAACCTTAAACTACATAATGATAAATCTACGAGACATCACACATGTATTGATCATATAGCTAGCAATTTCAAAGAGTCTGAAATTTCTAGTTCCCTGTACTGTTTTCATTTATCAGATCATAACACCTCTAAGGTTTCCAATTAAACTGCTACCTAAAATTAAATACTGGTAACTACGAAAAGAAATTACTCTAAGGAAAATATTGATAAGTTTCGTAAATGCCTTCGAAATACATCGTGGGAAAAAGAAACTACAGATGACATTTTTAATAATATTTTTAATAAATTTCATGACTTAATTTGTTTATTATATGACCTCTGTTTTCCATTACAAAAATATAAAATCAAAACAGACAATCTCGCTCCAAAGTCGACCACAAAAGGTATGAGGGTTGCAAGCTTCCAAGTAAAACTAAAAGAAAACTAAAACATAAACAAAAAAAAAACGTTTAGAAAACAAAGTAATCCATAACAAATATTCAAAATTATTAAAACGTTGCGTAACATGGTCGAAAAAAAATTTAAACATGAAACAACATTACATTACAAAAAGTAAAAGTAAAGCTACCTGGGAAATCATTAAAAATTATGAATATAATGATACACGAAATAATAATATTGACTGGATTAATTGTAATGGAACTAAAATAGATCATCCTTTCATCATTGCCAGTAAATTTAATGAGTATTTTATTATAGTACAGCTCTTCACGACCGTTCTTCTTTAAATAATAAAACTAAAAGGAATATGTATGAAAATGTTCAATCATCGATCTTTTTAAAACCTTGCTCATTAAATGAAATCATAATTACAATAAATTCTCTTAATAATACTAAATCTGTTGGTTATGATTCTATTGCTAAACACATACTGAAATCATGTGTGAAGGAATTTGCACCAATTCTGACGTACTTAATAAAACTTTCTTTCATACATGGAAGATTTCCAGATAAATTAAAAACATCTATGGTCAAACCTTTACTTAAAAACGATGACCGTCATGAGATTCATAACTATAGGCCGATTACGTTGATACCCATTCTATCCAAAATATTTGAAAAAGCCATGCATAGTCGAATTATTAGTTTTGTAGCAAAATATAATACATAAACACACACGCCTGTCACCCAGAGGGGTAGGCAGAGACTACAGACTTCCATTTGGCACGATCCTGACACACCTCTCTTGCCTCCTTCACATCCATACACCTACGCATACATGCTCGTCGGTTAAGGGTACTCCTAATTTGGCCCGTTTTCAATAAATCGCCAATTTGGTCGATAAATTTTCGCCTAGGACGTCCCTTTCCGATTCTGCCGTTCACTTCTGCACCATAAATTTTCTTTGTCACTCTTTCCTCATTCATTCTTTCCACATGACCAAACCACCGAAGCATTTCTTTCTTAATCCTGGTCACAATATCATCTTGCAAACCACACTCTTCTCTTATTACACAATTTCTTACCCTGTCATTCAGATTCAGCCCTAACATACTCCTTAACGACCGCATTTCTACTGCGTTTATTCTACTCTCGTGCTTCTTCTGCCACACCCAACTTTCACTATCCATACGTTAAAGTAGGGACCAACACAGCATTGTTAATTGCCATACGTGCCTTTTTCGACACATTTTGACTCTTCACAATAGAGTGCAAGGCCCCATTTACTCTATTTCCCGCATTCACTCGTCGTTCTATATCCTTATCATATCTCCCATCCCTGCTAAATACGCAGCCCAAATATACAAACTCATCTACTTGCTCGATCAACTCCCCTTCTATTCTTATTTCACAAATCGTTTTACTTTCTTCTCTTTCAAAAACCATAACCTTCGTCTTACTTGCGTTCACTTTCATACCCCTTTCTTTTAATGATCCGTTCATTAATGTAACCATCATTTGCAACTCGGCCGCCGACGACGCAAGAATAACTTGATTATCGGCGTACAAAAGGCATTTGACGGTTAACTCACCCATTCTTAATCCGCATTCTTCAACTTTCAAATTTTGCAAACAACTTAAATAGGTTGAACAGCCACGGGGAAGCCACACAGCCCTGTCTGACACCTTTATGGATGTCAAACCAGTCCGAGTAGACCCCGTTAATCCTAACACAAGCACTAGAGTCCCTATAAAGAAACTCCAATGCCTGTATCAAGCCAGCACTCAACCCAAATGAGTTCAGTGTTTGCCATAGCAAATCCACTCTGTCATAGGCCTTTTCCAAGTCCATGAACGCACAAAAAAACTTTTGGTTTTTGGCCAAAAACTTCTCCGCGATCATGCTCATGGAAAAGACTTGATCTGTACATCCCATTCCCTTTCTAAATCCCGCTTGCACATCCCAAATTTTTCCATCAGTTTCTTTCATGACCCTTTCAATCAGTACCTAAGCATACAGTTTTCCCACAATGCTAAGAAGGCTGATACCAGGTAGTTTTTACAGTCCTGCTGCGACCCTCTTCCTTTATATACTGGGACTATCACGGCTTTGCACCAGTCTACCGGTACCCGCTTCAGTTCCCAGCATAAATTAAACAATGTGTGTAGCAGGCCTGCCACCACTTCCTCTCCAGCCCTTAGCATTTCGAGTGAAACTCTATCATATCCAGCAGCCTTACCTGCTTTCATGCTTTACATTGCTTTCATTATTTCATCTATACTTATCTCGCTACCTCTTTCCTCTTCTTTCGGTGTTTTTACTTCACTTAGTACACACTTTGTCTCCTCACTCATAAACACGCTTTCAAAATATTCCTTCCATCTCTTTAAACTCAAAACTTCATCATTCAGAATATAGCCATTCTCGTCTCTTATAGCATTCATCATGGGCTGTTTTAAATGTTTACCCCCTGGCAGTTCTTACAAGTTTCCAGAACATTTTAATATTTGACTGGAAGTTATCCGATATTCTTCTATCATGCTTATCCGTTCTTTCTTGCTTTTTTCTTTCAACTACTTCTTTTACTCTCTTATTAAGATGTCTAAAGACTGCCTTTTTTCTTTCAATATCACCATTCGTACCACTAGAATTAGCAGCCTTTGCTGCTAGTAAATCTAGCTATGCTCTCTTCTTTGCTTCAACTTCCATACGTATCTCATCAACACACCATAACGTATTATTTTTCCTTTCATTCTTTCTCTTACTAATACCACATACTTCGGTAGCTGCATCCACTAAACCTTTCTTTACATTTTGCCATATATTCTCCAAGTCTAACTCCTTCATACATAATTCATCCAAACCACTTATATTTTCTTTCAGTCTACATTTGAACTTGTTTTTATCACTTTCATCTTGTAACCTTTCTGTTCTAATACGCTGTAACGCAGTGGTAGACACAGACGATCGATGGCGCCAACGCCTGAATAGACCATTAATTCGGCATAAAACTAAATAATGATCCGTTCCTACGTTAGAACCCCGGTAAACTCTCGTATCTACCACTGCGCCCCTCAATCTTTCATCCACAATTATGAAATCTATCATGCTTCTATCGTCACCTCTTTCCCAAGTATACATGTGAATCCTCTTGTGGCGAAAGCAAGTGTTCGTCACAAA